TGGAATCTATACTCTGTAAACCTAGTGCTGAAGAAGGTCACTTTCGTGAAAACGCTCTAGACTCACCTTACTTAATTTGTAGATTATGGTTGGTTTCAATGAATTAAAAACTCTAAGACATTCAGAGGAATAACATGTTATTATAATATTCCTCAATGTTTTGAAAAAGTTGGCAGTTTGAAGAGGAAAGGGCAGGCAGAATACTTTACAAAATCGCAGATGACTCGCATGTGTTCCAGTTCAACAGCGAGGCAAAAGGAGAATCTTACGCCGGCGAAAATGTTGTCGACATTGATACAGAGTTGGCGATTGAGCGAAACTCTCTGATTTCCTGCATAAGGAATCCAAGCAGATTGTTTAGTTTCAATGAGGAAATGTCCAGGAAGTCCATTGCTGATCTTCAGGTTGCTGAAGAATTCAAGGCTGCTAAATTCACAAGCATGGATATGAACAAAAGGAAGGTGTTAGTACAAAGCATAGTTACTGCGCTTAGATCCCGGCTGGAGTGCGAACCCAACTCTGTGCTTTATGCTGTTGAAAGTTATTCGCCTTGTGACAATATGACCTATGATATTAAAAAAACCAACGCGCAGCTTAGTACCTCCTTTTTTCGGCTATTCCGCAGATGATGTTAAAGAAGAAGTTGAGCAGCTTTCTAATCAGCTAAAGGACGTATGCCAGAGGAGGTGAAGCCAGAGTTCGACAACGCCCAAAAAGTATGCACTATTTCCTTCCCGTGTTGCGAAAGCATGTGAGATCTGACTCTTTTCCCATTACTTACCGCAAAAATCTGATGGACCTACTAGAAAAGCTAGTTTCCATTCCGAGTAGCTCGGCAGAGGTGGAGAAAAAAATTTTCTATCTACTCTGTTATCAGAACACAACCAGAAGTCGTACAACGATAGAGCATCTAAGCAAATATAAGCTCCTGCAAGACGAAGGCGGTCGGTTCGATGTGCAATGCGGCTGCGACATGGCTGCGTCACAGCAGCGTCACAGCCGCGTCACAGCCACGTCGCGCCTCGAACCAACCACCTTCGTCTTGCAGGAGCTTATACTTAAGATTTGTCAATCTTCTACTAAACACATTGTTATCTAAAAACTTCATTTAAAGGATTGGTATAAGTGGTCCAGACAGGCTGTTACCGTATGACTTGAAATATCCTAAAAGAAGGTATGAAGAAACTGGTCACCTACCTGCTGACTTCCTGATGCTACCAGAGGGCCAGGAAAAAAACACAAAAGCGCTTAAAGGAAGAAGAAAGTTTCAAATCCATTTTCGACTCAGAACGCTTTTGCACGCAATTCTACTTCTACTCCGATGACCTTCTGGAGGAAGAAGAAGATTTTTCAGGCAGCGAACTTGTTGTCTCTGACGTTAGCGATAGTAATATTGTTGATGATGATGTGCGGGAAATGAAGTTGTTCCTAGCTTGTACATCTTTTGGGATAAACATTATTGCTTTCGTTTTTTGTTGATGCAATGGTACAGGAGCACAGATCTTCATAATCAATTTTTTTTTTAATTTTTTAGTTTCTTTTGAAAATTTTTAAATTTTTTTTTCAATTTGTGCCTAAATAAGGTACAAATTAGAGCTCTTCATACCACGCTTTTTTACCTTTTCTCTCTTCCTCCCCCCCCCCCTAGAATCACGTACCCCCTTCACCGTGGAAGGTCGGGAACAGCCGAGACCCCCTTCACCTGGGGAGAGTCCGGCTCCCCCTATCGCACCTATGTTTAGAAGCCTAGTGTAAGATCGGCCTTTTTGTTTCTTATTCTTGGTCAAACGGCTCTTGATACCTCAAAGCCCTCCTCAGTTTTCCTACGGTAATTTACAAGTGAAAAGCGATCGACACATCGCTTCATACTGTAAGTCTAGGTTGATGTCAGCCCACAGATTCACATACTGTTGGGACCCCTATATGTCGGTCCACAACTCTCAATGAGGATAAATAATTTTCTTTGATTTTTGAAATTTTTTTACAACCATCACGTACGCTTTTAGGTTCTCAAAGACAGCGTCCCAAGATGGATCCGGGAATTTATGGCGATGTTAAATTGGACCCCCTAACTAAGCGGTGACGAAGTTCGCAGCGAAAAAGAGGGTCTGGTAAGCTTGAAAACTGCTCCCAAAGTGGCCCGTCTTACGGCAGACCCAGCGAATTCGAACTGCAAGGCCAGAGAACGCATAGCGCACACAGTCATGAATGCAGGGTCCCGCAACGACTCTGCGTCTCTACCCTGCATGCATCTCGTACTCACGAGCCTACCGTAAGATGGCTACTTATGGGGCAAATTTTAGGCCTGGTAGCCCCCTTTTTCGCTCCGAACATCAGTCATCGCTTAGGTGGGGGGACTACTTTAACATCGCCACAATCCGGCACCCATTTTCTTGCAGGGGCTGCAAGAACCAACTGAACCGTTTTTTCTTTGTAAATTGAATCATAAAAAATGTCTATACCTGAAAAAAATTTATTCTGAGATGTTTTGGTCTCTCACAGGTGGTCTCACTGACATAATTTGTTCGCATAATATTCAAAAATCGAATGATATTCGAAAATCGAATATTATTCGAGAACCGAATAATATTGGAAATTCGAATATCGAATGGTATTCGATATTCGAATATTATTCGATTCGAAAACTTCCATTTTCGAATAATATTCGATAGTCCGAAAATTCGATTTTCGAATAAAATTCGATAGTCGAATATTCGAAGTTTTCAATTTTCGAATAATATTCGATAGTCGAATATTCGAGAATTTCGATTTTCGAATATTATTCGATATTCGAATATTCGAAAAAAAAATCCGAATTTCCCAAAGTATAGTGCTTAGGATGTGGTCTAAGTCTAGCGGTCAACGCTGTTGATTATTGCATAATGGGTGCTCAGTAATCTGCAATAAATTTGCATTTGCTTTTACAAGCGCTATTTTTTCTCAAAAAATAATTTTGAGATCAGCGTTTCAAGGCGAGCATTCTGTTGTACAACATACTAACTGGCATATCCGACTCCCCCCGGTCCTGTCAAAACACTACGGTAAGGGTTACCATCCCTATTTCTGCAACCTTTCGCTGTGCCTACTTCTACATATCCCTTATTCCCGCTGCTAGTAGTCAACAAGCTCAAGCTCATCTACCTCCTGCGCCAACTCCCAGCACTGTAGCTCAAATAAACTTTGCAAACCATCGATGAAATAGATAAAAGTAACGGATAACTCTAAATACTAATATTGTCGTAAGCAGCATGCTCGATACTCCCCGTGCCAACTCCCAGCCCCGTATGTCAAACTTTGCAAAAAAAAACGATACAAAAACGTTAGAAGTAATGATAATTTTGAAAACGAATTATGTATCCGTAATCAGCATGCTCAATTACCCCCCTTGTGCCAAATCTCGACCCAGCAGGTAAAAGCTTTACAAAAGCGGATAAGCTCGGTATGATCGATAACGAAAAGTAACCTCTGACACACTCTCCGCCCCAATCTCTATGTGAGCAAAGTTTGGTCCTGATCGGTTCAGAGATAAAAATTTTTATTCGAAACATAGGTACATACCAGTAACGTACCCAGGATTTCCGCTCGGTGGGGGGGGGGGGTGCGACAAAAAATTTTTTTGAATGAAGGTGCGTGGCGTTAGCCACGTACTCCGAAAATTTTAGGGGTGCATCTCAAAATTTTTGTGAGTCCCCAATCCCTAAAGCGTGAGCCACGTTCCCGATTTTTTAACAAGGCTAATTTGAATTTTTAAAAAGTATAAACAAGCCACTTGCACATTTTTATAACCCATATAAGTAACTTTCAAAGATTTCGCGACCCTGTTTGGAACTATTTTCCACTTTCCTGTCAAATCTTGAAAAAATTTCCGAAAATCTCACTTTTGAGTGGTTGCAGCATTACCTATACTGATACATTGGATCCAGTAATAGCTCAGCTGATATGTATGGGAAGAGCTTGAGAAATGAACGAGAGCATAAGGAATAGAAATGGGATGTGGGAGGATCAGTAATAGTATGCTACATTCCATTCCTATCCTTAGTAACGATCACCATCGCATATTTCAACAAACTTGGCACGCGCTTGCGTATTTCAACACATCTATTGCAGCAGCAAAGCGCATCGTCGTGTGGTGATCTCCCGTTTAGGCGCTGTTCTGTGCCTTGCGTCTATTCAAAACAAACGTTCATGCCATATATGTGGGCGGACCAATTTAGCCGTCGCGTTTTTTGGGATCGTCTATCAATAGGAGAAGAGAAAAATCAGATTTAAGCAAAGCAATCACTTCCAAAAGCGAGATTTTCAGAAATTTTTGCAAAATTCGGGCGAAAAGTGGATCGTATCGGTCTAAAATGGTGTTTTTCTCTAAAAATCACTGCACAGTTTTCTTCCACTATGTCAATCTCGCATTCACGCTCACGTATTGGTCTCTCAAAAGCGAGATTTTCGGAGATTTTCTTAAGATTTGGGCGGAAAGGATCGTATCGTTCTAAAATAGTTTTCCTCAAGCATCGCTATACAGTTTCCTTCCACTATGTCATTCTGGCATTCACGCTCACATTTTGGAGGGATCGGATTCAAGCACAGCATTGTTCTCAAAAACGAGAATCTCGGAGATTTTTTTGAAATTTGGCCGGAGAGTGGATATAAGATTTCAAAAGGCCACGTCATCAGTTATCCTTCCCTTGTAAGAAAAGTAAGGAGGTTTGTATCTCTTGACGCTCTAACTATTTCCAGAAATACCTCGTAGCTCTGGCAAAAACAAAACCGCTCTCCATTCATAAATACATGGCTCATTTGCACTTGAATTATCCGTCACGAAGAAATTCGCTAAAAAAAAAACCTTAAGCGCTATCAATTATCAGATCGCTGCGAGAGTTTTTTTTAAATGTTTTTTCCTCCTTCCATAACATTCCCTAAAAAGATGAACTTTTAAGATTGATACGCATTTGCAAGAAGAGACGTGCATCAGCGCTTGCTTCAACGCCAAGTTGCCGTTACGAAAAAAATCTGTCTCCAGCAATCACTACAACAGGTAGCATGTTTTAGAACAAAGCGCACTCTACAACCACGGCAAAGACAAAAAGTTTGGTAATTTTGAAAGCTCTGGTTCAACTTCAATCCTTACATCTTTGAAAGGCCTTACAGATTCCTGAGAATGTCTGTCTGCCTTGTAGAATATTACTAAAGAAATATGTAAGTGTAATTTTTAGCGATTTGATCGTGCTACGAAATTGACGCCGATTTTGGCACATCATGTAGTCCGGAGTCAATTGCAGGAGTCTTCTATTCACAACACTAATCACTTCTCAGTCGATCAAAAATGCTAAAACCCCACCTTCTTTTTTGAAATACCTCCCAGTATATCCACAATGTCTGAAGCGTCTGCTTCTTCCCATAACAAGAAAAAATCGAGAAAAGCACCGTCCACCATCTGCTCCTCTATAAGCCAACGAAAGAAACGTCGTGTCACTGAGTTTTCCGGTCGCAATGTAGAGCGTTTAATTATCTAAATATTCTCAACAAAATGCGGACACAGCAGAGAAGCCCAGCAGTTTTGATTTGCAAACGTTGAGATCCAACTACACCATTCTTCTTTTACCGTGCCGATCAGAATACGCTAGACGCTTTCTAGACGCTATTGGGTAGAGACATAAACCTGCACCAAAAAATGGAAAAGACAATCTAAAATGTTTGAAAATTTTTCATATTGTATTTTACTAGCTGGCATACCCAGCTCCGCCCAGCCCTGTCAAAACACTATGTCAAAGGTCACCACCCCCATTCCTACACAAACCTTTCCCTGTGCCACTCTCAGATAATCGCCGGGGAAAGGCGGTCCGCAATTTCGGGCTTTTCTGCAGGCGATCAGAAGAATTTTGGGGCGTGGCCAACCTTAAGCGGGCGGTACCTCCTTTACTGTCGAATGTCCTGCTAGCGGGGCAGAACACAGAGTTTCCTGCGGGCGCTTGGCAAAGAATTTCTTTCGCGAACGCTGGCCAAACTTTCAGCAAGCGCTCGGACTCCTTTAACGCAGTTTCGGGCGCACGCCAAGCAAAGATGAGACTCTACTCAGATAATCGACGGGGGCAGGCGGTTATGCGATTTATGGGCAGGCGGGCACAGTTCGCTGATTTCTTGCGGACCGCTTGCAGGTATTTGGAAGAATGGTGGCAAAAATTTGGACGAATGCCTGGAGAACAATCGCAATCTTTCCATGGATCAGTTGCGGCGCAGTGGGCGGACTTTCCACGAGAATATGCAAAGATACTGGGGGCCGCACGGTCCTTTGTGAAGGACCGCACAGCCCCTAGGTACCTTCCGGTGCGAGGAAGTACCTCAACCTTGGGTTGTTATGTAGAGTGTTACAGTCTGCCCCAATCCCAAACAGACCAAAATTGGCATGGCGGGAGTCCGCGTCGCTAAGGTTTCGAGGTCAAGCCCACGCCTGCTTGTCTGCTCCCTCTTCGATGTTTTTGCTCTCTCCGACAGGGCGCATGTGCAGCGCAAACGCGGAGCGCTGCGAGCGCGCAAATTTACGCCGAGGTTCAGCCTGATCCCGATTAAGGCAGACTGTATCTTTGACGGCGTACGCCCGAAACTGCGTAAAAAGAGTCCGAGCGCCTGCTGAAAGTTTGGCCATCGCTCGCTGAAAGAAATCATTTGACGATCGTTTGCAGAAAATTTTGTATTGCTGCCTGCTGACAGAACACGGAAGTTCCGCTCACTGAAGGTTTGGCCACGCCCCAAAATTTTGCTGACCGCTTACAGAAAAGCGGAGTTTGCAGTTTTTGGGAAGTGGGAGGGCCCAAAGTTTCAGTGAAAATGTCCTGTGGTAAGAACTTATAGGTCTGTCTTTCCCTCGAGACCAGATTCTATGCTTTTCTGCCTTCAGGGGCAAAAGTTTTTGCGAAGTTTAAGGTATCAATAGTTTTAGTGAAAATGTCCTGTCGCATGAAGCTCATGGGTCTGTCCTTTTCTTGAGATCGTGTACTTTTTGCTCTAAGGGGCAGAGTGTGGTTTTGCGAAGCAGAAGGGCCAAAAGCTACCTTCGATGGTCTAGAGACAGAGCGTCAAAAGTGAAGGTTGTTTGAACATTTGATCTCAGAAAAAATTGAAGGTTGTTTATAGAAGATCAAAGGAGTGACGTAAAACACATACAAAAAGCAAAAGATACTGCTGAAAACCAGATAAAAACGCTGCAATGAGGTTTGAGATCTTTTATTTGGCGGACTGGGAAAAAACCGCTGCGAAAGCACTGAAACAGAACAAGGTAAAGAAAAACGCACTTTTTACGATTTTTACAAAAAATTCCGCCGTAATCGAAAAGCTAAGCACTAGGTCGCTATCTGCATTATGAACAAAAGCAAGATTTATAGAATGCACAAAAAAACCGCGTGAAAAGAGTCAAACTAGGAGAAAAACAAGAGATTTTCAAAGACAAGGTTTTTGCCGGGTTTCCCGTTCAAATCAGAAATGTGGTCTTGAGACGTTGTCAGCGTGAAGGTAGAGACCAAGAGCTTCAATATGATTTATAGCTTGCTAAAATTGGGTTCGAAACAACGAAGAAAAGGGTACCAGAGCCAAATGCCCCGCTTCCCACGTTTGGGGCAGTGAGGTAGCGCGCAGCGCGCGGAGGCGCAGACGAGCAGCGGAGACAGACAAGAGCCGACGGGGCATTTGGCTCTGGTCAGTGACCTCCGCGAGGGTCTCAACGAAACCCTGCAACATTATACGTCATTCTGATGTCATGAGACGACGAGGAGCACTGATCTTAAGCTGTGAAAACTACTCATTAACGAGAAAGACCATCATTTTCGTGCGCGACTCTCTGCGCAAGATTTAGGCGCAGTTTCTCGTTTTTACTTAACTCCAACAGCCTTCCTAAACTTTTGAAACTCAATTTCAATCAACTACGCCAAATAAAGGTTAACTGAGAAATGTTGTCCTAAATTCTGAAACTTTCACAAAAACCTTCCTTTTAGCGTTAAAAACGGCTGTAAAAACGCAAATTCTCGGTTTTGCTGAGATAATCTAAAGATGTATTTCCCTACGTTTTCATTCACATTCGTTTCGACATAGTCAGAATTATAACATCCTTGCCTCCGGATGACTTCTGTTTTTCTTCCAAGTGAAGCTTTGTGTCCTCTCATGGCCCTCAGAAGGTTACTAGAGTACCTGGCTCTATGTATCGAGCAGTGGCGTACCCAGAGTTTCCGCCCGAGGGGGGCGACAAAAATTTTTTGAATGAAGGTGCGTGGCGCTAGTTACGCACTCCGAAAAAATTTTAGGGGTGCTTCCCAGATTTGCGAGTCCCCAACCTCTAAAATCCGAAAAAAGAGGGCGTGGCGTTAACCATGCCTCCGAAAAAATTTTTTTTACAAGGCTAATTTGAATTTTTACAAATTTTTGAAAATTATTATAATTATCTACAAAAATAGACAAGTCGTTTGCACATTTTTATAACCCATATAAGAAACTTTCAAAAATTTCGCGACCCATTCTCGAGGGGGCCCCCGCCCCCCCCCCCTCGGTACGCCACTGCTCAGACAATCGCCGGGGGCAGGCGGGCACCGGAAAAAGAGATGGCTGATTTCTCGCACCCCGCTCGCGGATTTTTTGGAAAGCAAACAGAATTTTTCGGAACGCCGCTTGCTGAGTTCTCGATTCCTCAGAGATTCACAATATATCTGCAAAAGATAAGAGCGAAAAAAGACTCAACAGGCGGTCTTTCAAAAATCCGCTGACCATTCTCCTGGAATTTGCGAGCGGAATGCAAGATTTCAGCAACGCGTATTTTTCGGTGCCCGCCTGCCTCCGGCGATTGTCTGAGTGGTATCGAGGGTATGTATTATAGGGTATCTGAGGTAGGGTAGGGTATTTGGCCCAAAAGTTTTGGCGAATATTCCCTGTCGTATGAAGCCCAAAGGTCTGTATGTCCCTTCCTTCACCAAGCTTCCTGTGCTTTTTGCTTTCAAGGGCAGAAGTGTGGCTTTGCGAAGTTCAAGGGGCCAAGAATTTGGTGAAAATGTCCTGTTGCATAAAGCTCATGAATCTGTCCTTCCCTCAAGACCGAATCGGTCTGCTTTTCTGCTTTAAGGGCAGAAATATGTTTCTTAGAAGCAGGAGGAGCCAAAAGTTGATTTAAGCAAGTTTTTGTATGATTTAGATTTGACAGTCAGAAATTCTTAGCGAAAATGTCTTGCCGTTTGAAGCCCTTCCGTCTTTTCTTTCAACGGAACTACCTTAAATCATTCTGATTTTTTGCTTTTAGGTGCGGAAGTAGGATTTTTCGGTGGCCAAAAGTGCAGTTTCAGCAACTTTTTGAATGTCACCCTTGTTTCTTCAAACGAGATTTGGCTCCTTTTGCCTTTCTTATTTGATGAAAATGTAACAAAGCAAGGCATCCAGAAGTGAACTCCAAAAGATCTCCGTAAAATTATTATATTATCTTATCATTAGTTAAGCTACCCTTCTCAATGGTAAATGGAATTATGTTCTTCTCGAAAAACTTCTTGTAAAAGGCATCAGGCAGGAGATGGTATCGGCGTTCCCATAGTCTTCCCCTCGGGCGGCCAAATTTGCGCAAAAATCTTCCATAACTTTCTTCAAAGAAAAGATTAGCAGAATCGAAAGTCAGATTCGGAATCAGTGTTCCAAGACGAGTGTAACAGTTTAAACCCCATCTTAGAAGGTTTCGAACACCGAGTATCGTTCCCTTGTAGGAAATTGAAAAACTGTATTTTCGTCTTCTCATCAACCTTTCCCGTGTCAAAAGTGGTAGTAGAAGTAGTAGAGATAAAGTACTGCGCTCTCAAGGAGAAAAGCTCATAACATAAGTGATGACAAAGCATCTTTCTCGTTTTTCTTGCAGATATTCTAGCCCAGCTATCACAGCTCCTAAACACGGATATCACCTCCGTTGTCCGCTTTTTAGAACAGCCGATTCAACCTAAAACTCAGGCTAATTTCCAGGGTGCCATATCCTAAAAAGCGTCAAGTTTCTTCTTCCAGCTGCAGAAAAATCCAACCACT